GGGCAGGGGAATCAGGTGGGCTAGTGGCAGAGCCCCCACACAGCAGGGGGCAGGTGGGATTGCCCCCCCTCCAGGCAGAAGCCGAATCTCTGAATCAGATTTGGCCGAATTGATTTGGGATAGTGATTCGAATCACTGAATCAAATCACTGTACCCCAAATCGGCCAAATCTGAAACAAACGCTAGCCGCTTTGCACAGGCCTACTGGAAACAAGCCAGGGGAAACATAACAGTATAGACCATGCCAACAGAGAACCTTGCACAGGTGGAAGGATGGTGAGATTCCCTATTTTGTCAGCTAGGTTGTCAAAGCAAAGTGTTCACACCTACATGGCCAATTCTGCTGTTCCTATGCCTGTTGGAACTACATCAGGCAGAAAAATGCTTCCCAGGCTTTAGAAGGTGGGAAGGAGATGTAATAGTTTGTTACTTAGAGCGGGAAAAGGAAAGAGGCAATATGTATAACTCCAGTGGCAAATGCTATCTTGCAATCCCAGAAACTGCAGTACAATGCAAACATTTTAAAGTAATTTTCTAGGAGTAATTTAAATAACAGAATTGTTATTGTGGCAAAAAAGGGCAACATTCAAGCCTGGGAAACGTGACGTACCCAGGTAAAGCTCACACAAGATGAGTTTACTCCAATACCTACATTTATTAGCATGAATTCAGCCAAAACAGGGATTGTGGGACTTTTTACTGATAACCTTCTGAGTAGCACGAGTCCACTTGCAGGATGTACTCTATAGGAGGCTTCATACCAGGATTGCTCTCACCTCAACATGCCATTGCTTTCCCAAAGCATTGACTACACGTCCCTCAATGGGCCTGCGACAGGCTCCACAGATTGGGATTCCCATCTTGTCATGACAGGGCAAGCAGTAGAGTTCCCCTTTTAGTTCCCTGGCCTCAGCAGTCAGCTCCTTCCTATAAACACACATGCACATCCTTGAAACAACACAAATGACCCAGATCCCAGCCAACCATTTGTTCCCTGATTAAACCTGATAGTTATATGAGCTTCTCCTCAGACCTAAATATCTCTAAGCTGAAGCTGTAGAAGGAGGAACCTCAAAGAAAACATTTGTGCTTTGGCACTATTACATTCTAAACACAGATGTGGTGAATTTTGTTAGTAAAATACTGTCACTGGCAAGCCATTTGATGGGATGTTGGTTTCTGTCCTTTACAGACATAAAACATGTAGACAATCATGTCTTAATGAGATTACATACTCCATTTGAAACATAATCTTATACATATACCTTTTATCCACAAGCACCAAGCTATTCTGAACAGCATAGAAATAGCTATGTCTAAATAGAATTATTTTTGTAGTGAAGACTGGGCCTTTGAGGCCAGCTACTTGCAATGTACCACTTTCATACCCAGTAGAAAGTGGTGCCAATTAAGCAATGCATAGAACAAAGTGAATGCTAGAACTGAACAGAAGAACTCCAGTTCTTCTAGCTTATTGATTCCACCTCTTTTGATCTTCCATACAGAACTTCTCATTGCTGTAATAACTTAAAAGACTACAAAGTTTAGCTTGAACACTGGAGTCTGAAGAAAGATCACCCTAATATGCACAGACTTCATTCCCCTTGTTTGTTGGTGGCATGAAGGAGGTGAGAACATACCCACAGTGGGTGCAGTTGAAGTGATCTGGATGGTAAGAATCATTTCTGTACATCAGAGGCTGTTCATCAATTATGAGGTGGCACTTCTGACAGATGTACTTGCCTAGACCCTTGGCTTTCTCACGATTATGGCATGGCCTGCACAGGTGCCTGTATGAGCATCAGAAAGAAAAGGAAGCATTAGTTGGTTGGTTCTTCCAATTAGTTGGGATTGGGCTGTTATCTTGCTGATTAGGTTATGGTTTCTGCAACTAAAGTTTTACTATTTTAACTTTCTATTTTAGAGCATAAGCTTTAAAGCTTCACCTGATCATGCTAGCGTTAACCAGGCCCTCAGACAGCCTTGCGACTATCCTATAGAGGCATAGCAGGGTGCTGCAGTGTTGATGACTGGAGAGCAGCAGGGGGAATGAAAGAGAGCCCCAGCTCTCTCTGCACTCTGATGGTACCTGCTCCTGCAGCCGAGGAGACAAATCACCAGACACCAGCTGGATCAGGGGGCAGCAGAATGTCTGCCCCCCACCCCAACATCTGGGAGTCTTTGCCAAGCCAAACATAGACCAGCCATAAAAGCCAGGCAACTGTGCACCCAGTAGCATGGCATCTATTTAGCTTCCCCCACCCTACAAACACCAGTGGGTGAGGAGTGACAAAAATCCCAGGGGGCATCATTCTGCATGACCCCTCTCCCAATGCAAGACTGGGGCCACAGCAAAAATCCCCGAAGACGCATTCTGGTGCCCCTTCCGAGTCAGCACCTGGGGCAAATGCCCCACTCACCCTCCCTCTAGTTATGCTACTGCTGTCTTGAAAGGGGCAGGTACACAACTAGGTATTTTTTAGTCCTCCTACGCTTCTTTATGGGCATCAATCTTGCAGGGAAGAGCCTAGACCATTTTTTAACATGCCCTGATGATATGAAGCAGGCTTACAGCAGACCGCTAATGACACCTAAATTACGGTGTATGAAATTCTGCTTTTGTATGGAGCAGTAAAAATGCATTGGGATCTATAGATATGTTTGTGTTGATGTATATCCACACATACAGCCCTCTGTCTTAGAGTTTTTTTCTGATGGTCCTCTTCAAGGCACATCATTACACTTCCCCTACCCTGGTCAGATCCATCAGTCCTCAATAGCCGAGACAGATATCATTTGAATCATGGCTCCTCTGCCCAAAGCAGACGGATAAGCAAAGGAATATGCTTTTCTATGTTCCAAATCTACAAGTTCCTTAATATGTTTCAGGCTACATAATAAGCAGAAACCCTAAACAGGCACACAGCTGAAGTTTCTGTCACTGAAGTATGTGACAAAGGGATGAAAGATATTGTTGTAGAAGCTGGTTGTTTTGCTTACACATAGAAGAATCAAAAGATGGGAAGCAGCTGGATCAGCCAGCTTCAGGCCTTATGCTTAGAAGCTCAGGTGGGATGATCTTTCATTTAGGTCACTTGTCATCTGTCCCTCCAGCCATAGAGCAGTTTGCTTGAGATGAAACTTTGACAGACTGAACACACAGCAGGCTACCTGGAGAAGGACGTGTGAATATTTTCACACCACAGTAAAAGCAGACATACCTGCTTAACTCCTCTCAACTATAATCATATACAAATCTGTGATCATGATTGAGAAGCCTTCTTCCAAAAAGCCAATGGCAAGAAAGAGTGAAAAAGGAATGGTTGTATGATGGAGAGGTCAGCAGGCCTGGGTACTATTCCACTCTCTCACAGACCTCCTATATGGCCTCAAGTACAAGACACCTAACCATATAACTTGCCATGTACAAAACAGGGATAAGAATACAACACTGTATCACTTGGGCATTGTTGTGAGGCATCACACTGTTACAGTACCCAGAAGAAAGATGCCTATATTAGTGCAAAGTATTATTATTCTTTCACTTTGAGTCTTCTCTTCTGCGTTAGCCTCTCTCCAGGGCTGGAGCTCCTGGTCCTCCCAGACAGAGCCACAGTCCCCAGAAAAAGCAGACAGCGCCCCATTATAAGGAAGTATGCAGCTGTGCTCATCCCAGGATAAAGGCATCAATTTTATTCAGCACTGTCAAATGGAGATTAATTATACAGGGCAGGACATTGGGACCCTGCAGCAAGTGTCCTGAAAGAGACCCCTCTCATTCAGCTGAATAAGGGGCCTTCAAGCCCTTTACACTGATAAACCATTATCAACCCCTCCCCATTCACAAACCCTCTCTGCTGTCCCATAGACCCTCCTCTATTGCAAGCAAAGTGGAGTCTTGGAATGGCAGAGCTGTTGCTATAGCAGCCGCCCCTCTCACCCCCACTCCCACCATTATAGAATTATTCCATTCTGAAATGTCCTGTTGTGTCTATTAATACCAGACTCCCTCCCTGCACAATGCCCCTCTCCACCCCTCTAAAATAATCACAAAACTCCAAAGAGTCCCTGCAAAGGGCTGGGGGGTTCAGATGGAGACTTTAATAAGTAGAACAAACACACTGAATTATTCATAAATATAACAGCAGCAGCAGCAACAGCAGCAGCTCCCCACTTCCAAAGGCTCAGTTGGAAAGAAGACAGCCTTTCACTGCAAGCGTGTTGTTGCCTCTCCCCTCTGTTACATGAGCGAGCTGATAATGCACTATCAGAGCTAGCAGGACATTATATAGAGGGGCTTGCTCTGCAACCTTTACTAAGCCTGCAATTGTCGGCTCCTTCTGGCTCGCCTCATTGTTTCCATCTATGCAGCTTCTCCTTGGCTTGCTGGCTTCAGAAGGGGCTGCCAGAGACTTTCTTCAAAAGGACTTTACCCTCCACACTAGGACTGCACCATCCAAAAGGTAAGAGAATTGACTGCAGTTGAAAGAATAATAGAGCAGCTTTCCCAAACACTTTAAGCTGTTGTGGCTAAGCTAGTGTGGGTGGAAGAAGCAACGGAGAGGCTGACACATGTAGTGTAAAGGTCAGACTAAACACAGAAAACATTTTTAGGGGGAAAAAAAGACTTATCAGAATGCAATTCTTAGTAGCCTTTCTCCCCCAATTAGAATAAACTTCCCACACTTCTATATTAAGTCCCCATCCCCATGAACCCTACACATAGACAGAGACAGACAGACAGACAGACATCACGAATGTCACTTCTTGATGTTATTAATTTCCCTCAGGCATGAAGCACTATCATCCAGAAGGGATTCAGCCTAGAATGATCTGACACAGGAGACTTGTTTCATCCAGAGTTGGTTTATAATTCAGGGAAAGACAAGACCCTCCTGCTGGACAAAGCATGCTCCCATGATCATTTAAAAGGGGAAAAATTTACAAGCAGAATCTATGCTACAGAAATGATTAGGAAAGAACAGAAAAATCTGTAGGACATGAAAAGTCTCATTATGTATTCCTAATTTCCCCAGGAACTGCTTAGATTGCACAACAAAGGACATTAAGCAAAACAGCAAGCTGGACAAATAAGATTCCTTTTTGTGATGAGCTAGCAAATTTTCCTTGGTCTTCATGAAGCTTTGTGTTAATGAACAGGTAGAGAACTTACTAGAACAGTAATTCTACTGTAGTGGTAAAGTATGATAACTATATCCAAAAGCTCATCTGTATAATGAGGGGTAGGAGGAAGAAATGCATGTAAAATATAGCTATGTGAGCACATTTCAAATGAGTCACTATGTCTCTGCTTACAACTCAGCTATGGGAGGCTTGGAATAATGGCTCGCTATAGAATAGTGCTCTGTTAAGCAATACATACATCACTAAATATTCACACCACCCCAGTAGCGCAATCCAAGTGGAAATTCTGGGCTGGCAAGCCAGATTCTTAGTTATTCTGTCTACAGATTCAGACCTCTTACACTGTACAGTTTAGCATAAAACACTGACAATAGGTCATCTGGAAAAGCAACAGTGATTTCTAATTCATTCCGAGCATTCTTGTGTACTATGGTAACAAATAGACTAGGAATGACAGAATTATTCCATTATGTACTAGATAGAAAAAAAACCCTAAAAGGCTAATAAAATTAGCTTACATATTTTGAATCAGTAAGTTTTATAAAATAATTAACAGCTGAATATTTCCTATGATAATAAGCATAAAGTTATTATCTGATCCCTACAGCTGCAGTGAAATTTTACCATGAAAACTTTTTACAAATTATAGCTTTGTGGAGTAAGCACTTCAGTTCTCAAAGTTGGTTCAACAACTGGCTCTAATGATACATAGACATTTTATCAGCTACTCGAATGCAAAGGACATCTTATTGTTCATGTCAACGAGCACAAGCAGTTAAAAAAAATATTAAACACCACATTGGTCAAAACTCTGAGAGAGTAATTTTAGTTTAAAGCCAAAGTGAAAGTGTATTGTAAAGAAGGTCCTGTTTATCTTCTGCATGGTTTGACAAGACAAGAAAGAATCACACAGGACAAAATAGATAACAGCAGCCTTCCCCCATAACCACTCTAATTTTGAGAGAGAATTTTTGTGGCCCTGGATCCATCAGTGTTTTTATAACTCCTGCAGCTTCAGCCCTCGCAGCATTTCCTCATCACAAATTCACTGGACTTCCTGACATCTTTCATTCACTGTCCCTCCCCCCAAAGGATCTCATGGTAAAATCCTCACACCAGTAAAGTCACTGGGAGTTTTGCAACTGATTCAATGGGGCAGGATTACATCCCTAGAGATTTTGTTATTCTAATGTCAAATGATGACAGATAACTCAGGTTGAATCCCAAAGATCATACCCTTAATCTATCCCTGGAAGTCAGTTCAAACAAATCTGATCATCAGAACCACCCCAGGATCTGGTCTAAGGCAATGGCAGGGAGTAAAGGGATAGCCTTATCTGGCTGTAAGATGACCCAACATTAACCTTCTGGACATTTGTCCATTGTTTACCATTTTTAGAAGAAAGTTATAACTGGTAATAAACTAAGCCATTGGCTTGTCTAACTGTTGCTATGAATTATCACCCTTCTGCAGATGTTTGAGGCAGGACTATCTAACTAAGTGAAACGGTAAAAGAGAGTGTGTGTAGACTCATGAAGAGGGTATTACAAGGAACATCCCAACTTTGTTGAAATACCTATTTAATAGGTAAGATTTCCCACTTCTCTGGCGTATCATAGGAAAACTATATCCAATCAAATTCCTTTCAGAAAGAATAAAAAGTTTAAGCAGGTAATACTAGCTTCTCTCACAGGCCAGACCATACAGGTGTTTCACAAAGATGCTAGGGTTTACAGTTTCAAAGGGACAAACAGGAGCACCAGCAAGCATGTGCAGAGTCTGCCAAGTCAGTCTTTGAAAATACACACCTTGGCAACCCACATGCAAAAAAGTACCCAAGAGTGAGCTTCCACTTTATAAGCGATGTGGGCAATGTAAGAGTGAAGCTGCATGTCCATTTTGACAGTGTGCTGACATCTGACAAATGTGGCCCATGAAGCAGCGTTCTGCTCAGGATCTGATGCAGGCTCCTCTTACATACATATTATCTGTCTTAAAAAAAATAAAACCATGCAGCATTTCAGGACAGGCAGAAACAAGCACCCTTTAGATCAGTTGCACAATAGGTTCCTGTACTCCTGAACCTTGAATCCGTCTCGTCCCAGCAAAATGCTCTGAAGTCAAGCTGCATATGGAGTGAGAGGGACCCACTGTGGTCACATGAAAGCATTTCAGGGTCCTGTTTCCACCCATTCTCCTTTGTATCAACCTTTATCTTTTCTGTCTGAAGTAAGCTGACTGGAGGAGTGTGGTTCAGAGTACTTCTCTCTAGCTAACATAAATTATCTCCTGCCCTAAAAGCAAAAGCATCAAAAACAAGGAAATTTTCTTGCAATGTTGTTTCAATATTCTGTTTCTGGACTGTTCTTCCTAAGCAATTTCTGCTTCTCAGTATACAACTCTTTCAGCTTTTCTGAGAGAACCTGAGCTCATGGGGAGGCAGGAAGCATTGCCTTTACTTCAAGTCACTTGCCTGCTGCCATACTACTTCAGGAGGCAGCAAGGCTTTTGACAGGGGTGTGACTCTTGTACAACTACCTTAACAAGGATTTCTTAAGCATCCCAACCATAAGGGGGAGCAGGCTAGTCATACAGGAGGAAGCATGTATTGAGGTCTTCACTATCAGCACAAGAAAAGAAACAGGGCAAATACTTCAGGAATTGCCAGACTTCTAACATCAAACTGACACAGATGATGGCACAAGTCAAAGAGACTTACACAATAGACAATCTTTTTCAGATACTTCTGAAACCCAATTACACTTGCTGCTGTCTCTGGCTTCCACAATGAATGCCAGCATACTGGTGTTTTCCCTGTGGGCTATGCCTCCCTGCCTAATTTTTCCTCCATCTATGGCAGCACCCTCTCTTCCTACATCAGCTTCCTTTACTGCTTCTTGGAAAAAACTGCAGTATTCTGCAGTAGTGGTTGAACAGTACAATATTAACTCAGATACTCCTTACTGTACTGTGAACTCAGAATACCATTCTGCTGTACAGGACCTTAGTCACATTCATGAAAGAATGTAGAGAGAGATCAACAAAGTGGGAATAAGCAAGTTATGCATAAATCCACTGCAAATCCTGCAGGGAATGACACAATGATCCAAGGTCCTGGTGGGAAGAAAAACAATTTTGAAAACTTTTTCCTCAGTTTCTAGTACATCAGTCATTCATGCAGGTGGGGTTTACCCTTTGTAGAACATGCAGGTAGTTAGGACACATGGATATCTGAGAAACACCAAAGTCTACAGCTGTCTGCACACAGGCCTGTACCTCTGTACCTGTTTAATCTCCTGTGAACCTCCCCTTGCTGTGTCAGCAGGGATCTGATGGACTTTTGCTCACATTCACTCTGTTCCTTGCTGGATGCAGCCCCTGAAGTATCGTAATCCAGATTTTCAAAATCAAAGAGTGATTTGAGAAGCACAACTCAGAGACATCTCAGAGGTCAGGTTCCCAGGGCATTAGAAAATTGGGTCCCTTTAAACTATCTCAAACTGAGGACCCTACTTGACTGCCCAGAACAAATGGATCACAAGCTTCTTTCTCTTCCAGATGCCAACACAAGTACGAAGACTGTAGAACAACTCTGGAATTTTGATAAATTAAGCCCTATCAACCATTTCTGGGAACTCTGCCCTTGGAAAAATTTCTGCTTGTCATGGACTCCGAAGACTCCCCCATCATGCCACGCAGAAATAACCTATGTGCCCTAAATTGAGCTTCCTTATAACAGATATCTGTTTCTAGTGAAAATGCTGGATTAGGAGCTCTAATTTTAGTGCAATGTTTTGGTGTCACACTTAAAAAACAACAAAAACAAACAAAAACAACAACCCCTTCCTAACTGCCAATGTAGTGCCTGCCTCTATTTCCCCCATTAACTCGAGGCATGTACATTTAGTTATTTTATCACTTACTAGGTCTCCATATAGCTTAGAGATTAAATGTAGTCAGTAATTTCTTCAACTGAAAGTGAAGGCTTGGAAAAACCAACTGTGAAGGAAGGGTTTATAATTAAGGTAAGACTAAGTTTATGAGTACTTGACACTTTCCTTTTAAAGTGCTAATATCAAGAAGATGATGACTGGTATTTATTTTCAAGCTGTCTCTCTATGTCCAGGGTATCTTTGTTAAAATATATTTTCTTGTTTCTTTCAGGTTCTCATATTTCTTTCCAGAGACGTGGTGAGGGATGGATAGCCCAGCAGAGACCTCAAGCCTGCTACTCAATTCTTCCCTGGAAGCTTCGGAGCAATGTGGCAAAGAGACCCACGTGGAGAACATCCTTTTTGCAACTTTTTATCTCCTGGATTTCATCCTGGCTCTTGCTGGCAATGCTCTGGCTCTCTGGCTCTTCATCCGGGACCAGAAGTCAGGTACTCCAGCCAACATCTTCCTGATGCATCTTGCTGTTGCTGACTTGTCTTTTGTGCTGATACTTCCCACCCGGGTGGTATACCATTTTTCTGGCAATCACTGGCCATTTGGTGAGATCCCATGCAGACTTACTGGTTTCCTCTTTTATCTCAACATGTATGCCAGCATCTACTTTCTCATGTGCATCAGCGTTGACCGCTTCCTAGCCATTGTGCATCCTGTGAAGTCCATTAAACTCCGCAGGTCACTCTATGCTCATTTAGCATGTGCCTTTCTATGGGCTATAGTTGCTGTTGCAATGGCACCTCTGTTGATCAGTGTGCAGACAGTCCAGATGACTAATACAACTGTCTGCCTGCAACTTTACAGAGAAAAGGCATCACGCCACGCTCTTATATCCTTGGCAGTGGCATTCACCTTTCCATTTGTTACTACAGTGACTTGCTACTTATTAATCATCCGCAGCCTAAAAAGTGGCAACAGAGTTGAGAAGCACCTGAAGGAAAAAGCCATCAAGATGATCATCATGGTTCTAATGATCTTCCTGGTCTGCTTTGTACCCTATCATGTCAATCGCTACATTTATATTCTCCATTATGATGGCACCAAGACTTCCTGTGAAACTCAGCGAATCCTGGCTCTAAATAACCGCATCACTTCTTGCCTCACTAGCCTGAATGGCGCCCTTGACCCAGTCATGTATTTTTTTGTAGCTGAGAAGTTCCGTGAAGCCTTATGCAGCTTGTTCTGTGGCAAAAAGGCTGTAATGTTGCCTCAGACTTATGAAGGAAAGACAAATGAGAGCTCACTAAGTGCTAAGTCTGAACTGTGAGCAAGTGAATACATTTGCTTTCACTTTCAGATCCAAGAACCCTTTTTCTACCCAACCCAGCTAAGAGATTTTTTAGTGTGAAAGCCAACAAAGACAAATGATGCTATACCTAGGGCCAGTCTCCTCCTCCTCAAAGTTTGAGAATCAGTTCATTCATCTGAATGCAGCTAAAAGGAGCAAAGGCTAATTTCCTAGAAAAGATGTGTTGCATTCTCAGTAAATCATAAGACATGAAACCAACTGATGTTTGACTACTTCATGGTAGGAGCAGGAAGCAAGAAATTAGTCAAATCCCAATTTCTTCATCTAAAAGACAACACACTCCAGCTGGATTCAAGCAAACACAGACCACACCAAGAAATAAGCCAATTAGCATCACAGCCCTAAGATATAGCTTCTGATCTTTTCCCTGCACAACCTAGAAACCCTTCCCTGAAATCCAATGTTATTTTCACTGTGGAGGTTGTTTTGAGGTGGCAGAGGGTAAAGCATGTCTAGATCTACTGTGTAGAATTCACAGAGAGTTTGGAATAGAGTGGATAAGGGATTCCTGTAAAACAGGAAGAAGGAAAAACCTTTGATGGGACAGCCAGGGGCCAGAATTAAGGGGGGACAGCCACAGTTTCCAAACTAAAGAGGTCTAAGATAAAAAAGCCTCATCTGTGCAGAGCATTGGGCCATATACAGTAAAAGAAAAATCACAGTATTATTTCTACTTGTCCTTAGAATGGTGGGCCATGGTCCCATTAGCTGTGTGCACCTACAGGTTTGGCAGCATTTTCTAAACTAGTTTTGTTATACAGTCTTCTATGAATTATTGTTGCCTGAAATGATCACAGTACGATAAAGATACCAACACAGAGGGAATCATGAGATGTGGATCAGGAAAACTGCAAATCAAGGGAAGCTTTATTTCCTTTTAGTAAATGCTGAACCTGAAACTCTGAATTTCTGCAAAAAAGTTAACCAAGAAGAAAATAGGCAGGTGTGCTGAAGAAGTGTAACCCAGCCCACCTTGGAGGACGCTCAAAGATTTTTAAAGGTATTTTATAATTATTTACATTCTGCTTCATATATTTTGGCTGTTCAAACATTTTGTCTGCTACAGATGATTGCTAACCTATGTTAGCTTCACTACCCTCCCTACAATAAACTACTCCCAGTGGAATGAACCCAGGAAGAAAGCAGGGAAGGAAGGGGAGATAATGAAGCACAAGCTGACAGAACAGAAGAACCCATAAGGAATTGTATTATGCCAATCATGTTTCCCTGGAAAGATGGGAACTACATTAAGCCATACAACAGTCCAATCGTATTTACACATACTTTTCATGTCATTAGGAGAAACTCCATGCGTCTTGCAGAGTTTGGATCCTAAATTATGAAGTCAAACAGCTTTGTATTGTAGTTGATAGTTGCTGGAATCCTGACTGCTTCCTCAGAAGATAGAATCATAGAAAGTTAGGATTGGAAGGGACCTCAGGAGGACATCTAGTCTAACCCCCTGCTCAAAGCAGAACCATTCCCAGCTAGATCATCCCAGCCACAGTTTTGTCTACCTGGGTTTTGAAGACCTCCAAGAATGGAGCTTCCACTTCCCTGGGTAACCTGTTCTAGTGTTTGACTACCCTTCTAGTGACAAAATTCTTCCTAATATCTAACCTAAACTTCCCTTGCTGCAACTTGAGACTGTTGCTCCTTGTTCTGTCATCTGCTACCACTGAGATACCCTGAACTGCTCATGGATACTATGCAGACTGGACAGAGGAATAAACCAGGGAGCTGAAAAGAAAATCCAAGGACTTTACTTCCGGAAGGCAGGATGTTGGATTTGTGGAGGACTACTTTACAGAGAAGGAATTACAGAGGTCTCCTTGCTGGACAAGGCACAGCTGCAACCTTCTCCTTTCATTTCCTATTTCGGTTGCCTCTTAGGCATGACCGTTTCCCTTCAGTGACTCTCCCAGATCCTGCTGGACAGACATATGAATCCTGAAGCTAGATTAGAATTCTGCAGCATAGTAAGCTACAAGTGCCTAGCTCTGTTCTTACCATGATGTGCTTTTGTGCATGTTTCCTGCCTTGTTTATATTTATCTTGTCAATTTTTAAACAAAATTTTCTGGGAAGTTTGTTTGTACATATTTCACATCTGTAAAATGAATAATTTTAAAGAGCCAGTGAGGACACAGTCTTTATGTGAACACAGATTCCCTCTTAGTATTTTGCTAAGTGCTCAGGAGTCCTGGCCGTGGCTGCAGTAGGCCAGCTCCCTTTTATCCTTCACCTGCTATCTTCTGCATAGAATCCTTTGCTTTGCCCATCCATCTCCTGCCTCTTCCTGACTCTATCCACAATCTATTGGTTTCTGTCTTCTGTCTCTCCTTGCATTTCCTAGATGAGGAAAACCTTAACCTTTTCTTTCCATTTTCTCACTTTTTAACCAATGTCTGGCTCAGAGTTCATTTTATACCTTTATTTCCCTAAAAGTACTTCTGCTCTTGCATTCACAGTCAACTGTCAGGACCCCAACAGCTCCTGCTCTCCCTTACCTGCCAGCATTCTTCACAAAGCCCAGGTCAGCAAGTGCCACATCACAGAGCTCACAACGGAAGCAGTCTGGGTGCCAGTTATTGTTCATTGCCTTGATCACTCGTCCGATAATGAACTCACCTTGGAAAGGAAAATACAACCCTTAGATGAAAGTAAAAACTTTTCAGCAAGAATCCTTCCCCTCCCCATTGCTGTTCCCTTTTAATGTTCCAAGGCCTTGTATACACTGACTCCAAAAACGTCATTCCATCCCAGGTGTCCAATATCAAAAACATGACTTTCTTGTTGCTCACTGCTCAACTTCGGTTTCTGTTCAGAGATCCCCCTCTTCAAAGTGACCCTTAAGTTAGAATTTTTATTACCATGAAGGAATAATTTCTTCCCCATGACATCCACCAAAGGAAAGAGAGGCTGGACAGATTTGCATGTGGATATCTTACCACATTCCCCGCAGCAAGGTGCAAACAGCATCTGGAAATCATGTTCACAATACTTCCGACCTTCAAACTGTAAACAAAACAAAGGAGACAAAGCCCTGGGTAAATTACAAACTATCCACAAGAAAAATTAAAATGGTATTATTAGTGTTTGCATGTTTGTAAAGGTCCATAACTCCCTCTCTCAGTTGTTTATTATTTCCTTGAAAAGAAATCCTTGGGTAATGAAACTTTCCATATTTGCACTCAGTCCCATACTGACTTTTCATGGGAAGTGGAGTTAAATCAGCAAGGGTATTTTTAGGTTAGGCAAAAGATGTAGGGGAAGGGGAAAAGACCATCACATACAACCCCACTTTTCCATGATTGGCTTTTTCTATGCTTTTATTTTATGTTAACATCATTTAAAAATGAAGCTCTACCACAATCATCCCCCAGAAAGATGTACCTTTGGGACCTAATGGTCACTGCCCATTCACCTTTAACAGCGATGTCTGAACTAGCCCTGAAAGATCTTTATGCACTGGCTAGGGAAAGGCAGAGAAGCACTAAAGTGCTTGAATCTGCAGTGTGCTGAATTCGATTCCCACAGTGCCAATAAGAGAGAAGGATGCTCACTAAGCATCAGATTTAAGGAACAAGTCTGATAACTGTCTGCAGCTTCCCAGATGCAACAACCTCACCTCATAGAAGAGTCCATCTGGGAACTGTCGAAAACACTGAGCACAGACAAAGCAGTTCTCATGATAAAGCTCTCCATTGCTGTTCACAATCCTCTCTGCAGGATCGAAGCGAGCCTGGCAGCGATCACACACTGCATTTGCAAGGGCATCTGACATATTACTGGGGGGGAATAAAGGTAAGAATCAGAACACAAGCAATAGCACACACAGTCATATGAACACGGATACGCCACACACAGTCATATGAACACGGATACGCCACACTTGTTAACACCAGGAATTTTCTCCTTAGTTTTGTTTTACTTAAAAAGAAAAAGAAAATAATTTTAAAAAAGGAAGATTATTCAGTATTATATATATATTCACATTAATGTATATGTACATGACCTACATGTTATATAGCTCTCACCTGAGAACAGGTGAGAACCATATAATAATTTGCAGACGCATGTGAAGTCTTCATTTATTGGGCACTTCTGATGGTTTCACTTTCCCTTTGCACACCAATCCATGTCCTAACAAGTTACACCAGTCAGACACTACAGACACACTGTGTAAAGTAACGAGGAAAAGAAAAACTAAGACACACCTTGCAAAAAATGGTTTGCTTTTCGTTTCCTCAAATGTGAACTGCTTCACCCTCTTTCAAAATAAGACAAATTTGCCAGTGAAATGGCAGGAATGGATTCAGTCCAGGTTCTTCATGTATTAAAATGTCACAGCTTTAGAATTCTGTTAGTCCTCATGCCTCTGAAGGGCTGGGAAAGGGAACTAATAATGAAACAGGAGGGGAAGAGTTCCAGTTTCTTAATGGGAGCAGCTCTGTCTTAAATTCCAGAATGCCCCTAAGTATCATGCTTTAATATTGTGACATTTTATGTACAGGCAAGTTATTTCATGCCATTCCTAAATTGTTTTAAGGCTCCCCCTTAGCTTTGTGTTGCTGGACTGCAAGTACTTTTACAGCTGGATGGATTTAAAGATAATCTCAATATTTTTAAGAATCTCAAACATTTATGCAATAGTTTCCCTGGGGTACAAGATGCATGCATAAAATGTGTGAGGAATCAGTTGGTATACACTGCTTAAATCAATACTTGTTCACTATGAGCAACTACACCCCAGGGAATTATGTGTAGAAAAATTCAAAATTATGAACAGAAAAATTCAAAATTTTGCAAAATTAATTACTTTGTTTTTTTCTACAAATTAAACTAAATATAACGCTACTTGAACCTTTAGAAATATATGCAGGTACTTTGTATGGTTGGGGGGTGGATGTCTGGGGGGGGGGATGTGGGAAGGGGTGGGGGTGTGTGCATGGAGTTTGGGGATGGGTGTGGGGTTTGTGGGCAGGTGGGAGGGTGTGAAGGGGTGTGGGGAGGGTGTGTGGGATTTGTGGATGGGTGTGGGGTTTGTGGAGGGGGTTGTGAAGAGGTGGAGAGGAGTTGTAGGTGGGTGTGGGCCCCCCACCACACATTTCCCCCCCATGGCACACAGCCCCCACTGCCAGCGGCTCAGCAGCAGCAGGCAAAGTCCCCAGCGGTCCCCAGGACCTGCACATGGTGGCACGGAATTAGCTTGGCCTGCTGGTGTGTGCCTTTGTACTAGACTGGGCTGGCTCCCTGCCAGCATGTGGGGCTTGCAGTACAGCAGGCAGGAGCCACGTGCCATCGGGCTGGGTGGGCTGCATGCCTCTATGCGGGGCTTCCAGCACTCCAGCAGGAAGCTACATGTGGAAGCAGGCAGGAGCCTGCCTGACATGATGGCGTGCAACTCCATGGCTCCATGTGCCCACACACCATCAGACCAGGCTGGCCCTCCCCATGGAGCTCCCAGCACTCCAGCAGGAAGCCGCACACAGAGACACAGTCGCACACCATCAGGCTGGGCAGACCCTGTGCCTCTGCATGCAGCTTCCCACTAGAGTGCTGGAAGCCCCATGTGGAGACACATAGCCGGTCAGCCCAGCTCAATGGCACACAGCCCATACCCAGACACAAACCCCACACACCCACATGCCCACCCACAAACCCCATGCCCACCCCTCTGTCCTGCAGACACGAGTTCCCCTCATCACTTACCCAGCTGTCCAGTTGCATGGCTCTGTGCCTCCACATCATGGAGGTGGAGGCACAGAGCCTGCCACGGTTAAATTATGCAAAATTATGCAATTATGCATGGCCATGCCTTTTATGTGCAAAATTGCGTGAGCGCATAATTCCCCAGGGTATAGTAAGCTTCTACCTCCTTTTCTTCCCCACTTTGTAATGTTAGTTCACCATATACTTGGTACATAGCTTAAAGTGAAGGTCATACTCATGGCAGTCCTGTTTTTCCTCAAAGGCAGGAAGTCACACTAAACAGATAGATTACTTTTGTTTATATTATTCTACTGTGTCATTTTGCTTTCCATGACTGTTTAAGTAATTAAGCAACTAATTAGCATATCCCAGTAGCAAGCTTCTTATTCTCTGATCAGTCTAGGTCAGTGCTTCCCAAACCTTTCCTCAGCGTGACCCCATTTTTGGCCCCATTTCCACAGCATGACTCCTCAGTCCCAGCCCACAGCCCTTCACCCCCATGATCCCAACCACTGATGTTGCAACCCCATTTGGGGTCACAACCGACAGTTTGGGAACCACTGGTCTAGGTGCTCAGAGGAACACATACTGCAGACTGCAACCAACACCCTGCACCTTATACAGACATTTCCATCCCTACAAAGTAGATGAAAAACACTACCAAAAAATCCCCATCACGTTACTGAAAACACTTACCCTCAGTGGCACTCAACCTTTTGGCTCTGCCGACCAGAAGAATG